TTGTTTGACTATACCTTTTGTGTAGTTACTATGCACAGGTTTGACTGTACTTTGGGTGGTCACTATGCACAGGTTTGACTGTACCTTGTGTAGTCACTATATACAGGTTTGACTGTACTTTGGGTGGTCACCATACACTTGTTTGACTATACCTTTTGTGTGGTTGTTATACATAGGGTTTGACTGCATCTTTGGTGATCACTATACACAGGTTTGACTGTACCTTGTGCAGTCACTATATACAGGTTTGAATACCTTGTGTGGTTACTATACACTTGTTTGACTATACTTTTTGTGTGGTTACTATACACAGGGTTTGACTGCATCGTGGGTGGGCACTTACTATATACAGGTTTGACTATACCTTTTGTGTAGTCACTATACACAGGTTTGACTGTACCTTGGATGGTTGCTATACACTGGTTTGACTATACCTTTTGTGTAGTTACTATGCACAGGTTTGACTGTACCTTGTGTAGTCACTATGCACAGGTTTGACTGTACCTTGTGTAGTCACTATATACAGGTCTGAATACCTTGTGTAGTCACTATACACAGGTTTGACTGTACTTTGGGTGGTCACTATACACAGGTTTGGGTGGTCACCATACACTTGTTTGACTATACCTTTTGTGTGGTTGCTATACACAGGTTTGACTGTACCTTGTGCAGTCACTATATACAGGTTTGAATACCTTGTGTGGTTACTATACACTTGTTTGACTATACCTTTTGTGTAGTTACTATGCACAGGTTTGACTGCATCTTGGGTGGTTACTATGCACAAGTTTGACTGTACCTTGTGCAGTCACTATATACAGGTCTGATACCCTGTGTGGTTACTATACACTTGTTTGACTATACCTTTTGTGTAGTTACTATGCACAGGTTTGACTGTACCTTGTGCAGTCACTATATACAGGTTTGAATACCTTGTGTGGTTACTATACACTTGTTTGACTATACCTTTTGTGTAGTTACTATGCACAGGTTTGACTGCATCTTGGGTGGTTACTATGCACAGGTTTGACTGTACCTTGTGCAGTCACTATATACAGGTTTGAATACCTTGTGTGGTTACTATACACTTGTTTGACTATACCTTTTGTGTAGTTACTATGCACAGGTTTGACTGCATCTTGGGTGGTTGCTATACACAGGTTTGACTGTACCTTGTGCAGTCACTATATACAGGTTTGAATACCTTGTGTGGTTACTATACACTTGTTTAACTGTACTTTTTGTGTAGTTACTATACACAGGGTTTGACTGCATCTTGGGTGGTCACTATATACAGGTTTGACTGTACCTTGTGTACTCACTACACATAGGTTTGACTGTACCTTGGATGGTTGCTATACATTTGTTTGACTATACTTTTTGGGTGGTCACTATACACATGTTTGACTGTACCTTGTGTAGTCACTATATACAGGTTTGACTACCTTGTGTAGTCACTATACACAGATTTGACTACTTTGGCTGGTTACTATACACTTGTTTGACTATACCTTATGTGTGGTTGCTATACATAGGGTTTGACTGTATCTTGGGTGGTCACTATACACAGGTTTGACTGTACTTTGGGTGGTCACTATACACAGGTTTGGGTGGTCACCATACACTTGTTTGACTATACCTTTTGTGTGGTTGCTATACACAGGTTTGACTGCATCTTTGGTGATCACTATACACAGGTTTGACTGTACCTTGTGTAGTCACTATATACAGGTTTGACTACCTTGTGTAGTCACTATACACAGATTTGACTACTTTGGCTGGTTACTATACACTTGTTTGACTA